CCTAAACCCCTAAACCCTAAACCCTAAACCCTAAACCCTAAACCCTAAACCCTAAACCCTAAACCCTAAACCCTAAACCCTAAACCCTAAACCCTAAACCCTAAACCCTAAACCCTAAACCCTAAACCCTAAACCCTAAACCCTAAACCCTAAACCCCAAACCCTAAACCCTAAACCCTAAACCCTGAACCCTAAACCCTAAACCCGAAACCTTAAACCCTAAAGCTGCCTCCATGGAGAAGCTGCTTCCATTGTGATCCTCTCCAGGTCAGTGTAAACTCCAGCAAACCCTATTATTATTATTATTATTATGTGAGTTTATTAGAATGCTAGAATGTTGCTCGGCCTCCTTGTGGGCTTTTGCAATTTGATCCTAAACCCTATTATTATTATTATTATTATTATTATGTGAGTTTATGAGAATGCTAGAATGTTGCTCGGCCTCGTTGTGGGCTTATGCAATTTGATCCTAGTCTAAAGAGGCGCTCGAGCACTGGGAGTACACGGCCTACAATGCGAACCCTGCTTCTGAGGCGTCTTTCTACTTTCTACTTTTGCTGTCTTCTCTTGGCTTCCTCAGCCTCAGTTAGGAGAGTTGCCTCTCCTCACCTTGGCCTTCGGTCACCACCTACTCTACCTCCATTCAGCTTCCTCAGCCTCAGTCAGGAGAGTTGCCTCTCCTCACCTTGGCCTTCGGTCGCCACCTACTCATCCTCCATTCAGCTTCCTCAGCTTCAGTCAGGAGAGTTGCCTCTCCTCACCTTGGCCTTCGGTCGCCTCCACCTTCTCTACTTACCTTGAGCTCAGCTCAAGCTCGGTACGGGCTCGCCCCGTCTTCTTCCTCGCCCTCGCCTTGCTCTTCCTCCATGTCTTCCTCTGCTTCGCCATCTTCCCTCATCTCCACCCGCAGTCGGTCCTTCTTGTCCACCTTCAGCGAGCAGGCCAGCACATGCATCTCTGCGAATTTACTCAGTGCTATGAACAGGAAGCTAAGAGATCGACGCTCTATGTCGTCGCTCTCCGCCTCCTGCTCAAGCTCAGCAGCTGCCGTTGCCCGTGGCGAGAACGCGCTGCCCCTCCTTGCCTTCTTGCTCTCTCCTTGCACGCGAGTCCAGCGCTTGCTCTGCAGCCACTTCCCCAGCTTCTCCTTGAGAACGTTGCGCCCAACTCCCTGCTCCTCTGGCATCTTCGCCCACTCTCCCAGCGACATGAACTCCAGGCTCCCCGGAGAGTAGAACGTGTCGTGGAGGTTGCCAACGGCCTTGTCCAGGACCAGCTTGATCGGCTCGCTCGTCCCCGCCTCGTTCAAAGAAGCTGCATCTTCGATGACTGCTGACAGCTCGCTGACGAGCTGCATGTCCTCTTGGCTTGACGGAGATGCTGCCTCCATGGTGATCCTCTCCAGGTCTGTAAACTCCAGCCACTCTCCCTCGCTCTCCTCCTGTCGCTGCGCTGCGTCGCTGGTGCCCCGCTGACCAGCCGCCTCAGAGTCAGGCTCCTTGTCGAAGCCGACTGCTTCGAGCTTGGTTGCTGCGCCTTCGAGATAGAAGGGCAGCTCCTTCATCATGCGTCGAGCATCCTCCGTGGAGCCGAGGAGGATGCATAGCTTGGACCCGTTCCAGGACTTGGTGTTCAAATCCTCCTCCATGTCGATGCCTTCAACGTTGATCTCGAGCCTGTTAGCGATCTCCAACAAGACTCTCTTGACTCTTGCGATAGACGTGTTGCCGCCGTTGCACAGCCCCTCCATCTCCTTCCTCGTGAAGCGACCAGATGCCGCCGTCGACTTGATGATGATCTTGATCCTACTGTCTAACTAAAACCCGGTTGTGACGGTTTATTTGTAACTGCTCGCGGGGAAATTGAGAAAGCGAATGAAAGACTCTGCGGTGAAGTGGGATGAGCAGTAATGCCTTCATAAGGTATCAACAACATCCATAGGCATACTCAACATGAGCACAACTCAAAACTCAACCACAACCGTCCTGGATGTTGTGATCAACCAGAACATTTCATCAAACACACCATCGGGCTTTCAGAATCTCACGTTTTCAGACCTGATCGGGGAATACAACTCAACAACGTCTACAAACTATTTAGGGATACAGTATGCTGATTTTAACCCATACACATTATGGTACATCTGTATGGCATTATTCCTTGCAGCTGCGTCAATAATCCTGGCTCTTACATTTTCTATCGAGAGCTTTCAAAGGAATTGCCTGTTGTATTGGATTTTCTCCTTGCAGTTCCTCATTACGGCTTCCATGTATCTTTTCATGAGTCTTAACATCGGTTTGCTTTATGAAGTTTACGATGTGAAAGTCGAGCCAGGAATTATCCTGCAGCCAGGGGTCATGTTACATAGACCAACAAACCCCCCTGTGTATTGGATGAGGAATGTTTTCTGGACATTCTCTACTTCGATTGATCTTTTCATCCTTACAGGTTGACAAAAAAGTATCTGAGCTGAATTTTGAATGTTTTTGCAGTTGTCGTCGACAGCAGCAAGAACATTTCGAAGCAGAAGAAGTACAAGACGCTGATTAACTGGGAATATAAAACATATCTCTTCATGATAAATGCTGCTCTGCATACTTGTGGGGTCATCGGGACTATCGTGCCAGCCTCTCAGATATCCAAGGTTTGCAAGGTTTGCTGTTTTCCGTCTGTATGATGCTTGATCAGTGGACGTACTGGGTCTTCGGGCTGGGGTTGTTTGTCATGCTGATGAATCAACTGGCGTCGAGTCAGTGGTGAGCGGCTCTTCTCGCGCGCTGTCGACTGAATGACAGGTGACGCGCTCTAGCCCTCTGATGAAGACGGCCGAGAGAAACATGGTGCTCCAGTCTTACAAGAAGCTTGTCCGTGTTGTGATCATCACATGGTGTGAAGTTTGACCGCATGCCGCCTCTGAGTCGGTTCCAGGTCCCTCTACCCTGCTCTCTGGGCGATTGGAGACGGCAGTGGGACCATTGCATGGAACTTGAAGGAAGTGATGTATGCTGTCATCGACTTCATCTCCAAGTTCTCGTTTATTGCCATGTTCCTACATGTATGATAAGAGTGTGAGAACTCGTTCCCTGACGCTTCTTCAAGACAAGTCGAGATCTCCCTACCATCTCTCTGTGCTTCAAGCCAACCTTGACGGGAGACCACCAAGAGTAGGTGAGTGCGAGCTCCTTGCGCCTCCAACCATGTGACAAACTCGGAAGCAAGAGAGGCTGCTTTGCATGTTTCTGATCTCCATCAGTGTAAACTAGAATGCTACATGTTGTTCTATTCTCTCTCATAGTAAACTTTAGCTTGCCATGTACGACCGTCTGGTCCTTCCCGGCGCTCTGGAGCGTCTGTGGGCAGTGCAAACTGATCTGTCTAAATTGATAGCATCCCACTTGTTTACTCGCTAATATTTAGAGAGGGGGCGTAAAATAATTAGAGGGCTTGGGATGGGCTGTATGACTGCAGGCATGAGAGGGGGGAGGGACGAAGGAGCAGCGGTAGAGAGATAGAGGGAGGAGGAGGAGGGTTGAGAGAGGAGGGGGAAAGGCAAGGGAGCATGCACGGGAATGAACCATTGATACCTCAAGGTTTTCCTTCGGCTTCTTCTCGCATGCCCAAGGAGCCGCAATCCCCTCTAGCGGTCATACCAGGCGAGGCGCATTGCCCTCCCCCTCCTCTCTCTGACAGCTTGCTAGTGTACAAACTCTCCGAGTTGCCATTGGAATGTCTCTCTGGCATCGTTCGCTTCCTGGTTTCGCTTGTGCCTTGGTGATGATGGAGGGCTTAAGGTAGTCGCAGCCGCTGGAGTATGCTTCAAAGCTCTCCCTGGTTGCAAAGCATCTTCGTGCTGTGTTTCTCTTGGACTCCACGTGGAAGGCACGGAAAACTACATGCTGTGGAGCATCTTTCACTCATGCTTCGGGCAGGTCCTGTGCATGCAAATGGACGCCATGCAGCCATTAGCTTGCTTCGCTAAAGCAATCAAGGTAAGCAGCAGCAGAGTATAAGGATGCTGTGAATCATGGTCTGAGCAGCTGAAACGTCACTATGGCTGGCGACGAGTCGCCCCCATGCTTTATGTAAGCTTCGCATACAGACGTTTGCCGCCGCTGACCAAGTTCCAGAGAATGAAGAAGTTCCCTCAGACGCTTGTGTTTCCAGATTTAACCCGATTTGATCCCGACGACATGTAGCTTGAGAGTTGTTTATTAGCAGCGCTCTGATCAAACCTCAGAAATGCGGTCAACGGAATCCATGGAATCTTTTTGGAGAAGAACGAGGACACTGGGGAGGTGCGCTGCCTGACCTGCCTGAACCTCGTTTGATTGATGGCCCTCCGTCAGTTCCTAATCAATTCTCACGGCAAATACGGAAAAGCTCGGTCTGTGAGGACGTTTGAGCCCTGGGTGATCCAGTATAGGACCCCCCCACGGTCTTTAAAGCTCGTGTGCCTGGCTGATCTTGACAAGTTCTCAGCCCTCCTGCAGAGCTCAAAGAGTACATGGAGTGTATGGCCCTCGACGCGGTCTTTTAGTGTATTTTTGCGCTCTTCATCTCAGTCTGATTTTAGTATTATGCCGAGCCTCCAAGGTGCATGAATGTTCGACAAGCTTTGAAAAAACAGGTGACAATGTTCAAGAATGGTTTATTGTTGGATTGCTTCACAGCTATGTGCAACGAGTTTGAAAATAATCATGTTATCCGTAAAAGCAATACTGAAACGTCTGTTCTCCGCAGATGAAAGATAAAGATGAACTTTTAGCATTTGAACTCAAAGAGAAATTTTGGGATATGCGGTAACCGTGCTGAATGGTGTCCAACGACTCATTCAAAGGTCAGTGTGAATCATGCCAAGGTTTGGAAGGAGTGGCACATAGCAGCCTTCGATGATGCAAGGTATCCATGTGCCGATGCTTATCCTCCTGCTAGCCGGAGTCCTGTCTTGAAGCATGATGTTCCAATCTTTTTACTCTAACACATCTTCTGTTCTCTGCGTTTCCGGCATTTTGCAAGAGCAGGTTTCTTCACCCTGTGAGAATGTTCGATGTCCTGTACTCCACTGCGTTCATTCTTCCTCGTGATAGGTTCTGAGCGATGCGAGGAATCCCCCTGTCCCTTCCCCGTCGTGGCTGCTCGATCAATGGGAGTACGAGATCACCAAGTTTAAGGTACATCAACCGCATCGAAAAGGTTGTACAAAGCTCAATCATCTCCTGCCTGAAAACTCGATTGAAATTTCTCAAGAATCGCAGTCATCGAGACCAGAATATAACCTGTTTCTCCTTCCCGTGAGATACTACGAAATCACTCTGTCCAAAGGGTTCTCGCTTCTGATTGTTATTTTTCGATTTGTTGATGTGAATTGAACCAGGCAAGAGGAAGCAGGAAAACCGAAACCGTGCGTCGTGTCATGTGGGGTCTCGACGAGCTATTCGGACCTGGTGACTGTGCATTGCTTCATTTTGAAATTGCCTCTTAGTCTGCTTTCTGTTTCTTGAATCATTCAATGCTCTCTTGACTGGGATTAATGAATCAGCAGACGAATCTTCCTGGAAAAGATTTTGGGTCTATTGGTATTTTGTCAGGCAAAGGAAGGTAAACGGACTTGCTGTTTATTTGTTAGACAATGACTGCCAGTTGTTAGGTTCTGGTTTTGTGAATCAAAATCGTATGAGGTAGAAGTGCCGTTTGGTCCAGGCGACACAGTATCATTTATTCTCGGCAATGAAAATGAATTGACTTTTATTGTAGATTGGTTGTGGATTGAGATTGGACACAAAATGGCCAATCTTGTTCTACACTAAAAATGGAGTGGTGGGTCATCCAGCCGAGGTGGAGCTTTGGAGCTAAAGAGATTGCAGTTTCACAGTTTTGCCTGCACCGTGCAATTCGATTCACAGGTCGATGTTTCGCATGATGTCAGCAAATCTCATAAGAGATTGGTGACAGGTGTATCGCCAAGGAGCAGCTCTCATGGTGTATCCAACGGTATTTCCAACATCCTCAAACTCAACTTTCAAATTCACAATAAAGCAGATCGGGGTACAGCAATTTGACAACATTCGACTCAACCTGGGAACACAACCTTTTCAATTCGACTTGACATGTGAATTGAACATTTGCAAGAGCGTGAGGTTGCAGTTGAAGATTTTGGTACAGGTGTCTCCTTATGGCAGCCAATCTTCTCGGGAGTGAACAACGTTAAGGCAGATGGTGAGGGGTCACTTGCTTGCCCTATGCCCTCGTGACTTATGTTGCAGCCTTCTACCACAAGAAAGCTGGCGTTATGCACGGCGCGAGTCTGTTTGTTGATTACCGCGACGTTCGTTACAGACCCGACGCAAAAGTAGCAGCATGTTTGGACCGCTTCTATCAAGCGTTCCTTGCAGACGGTTTCTTGGCCCGCAATATGCTGATGGGGTTCATGCTCAAACGCCTCAGCCGGGAGACGATTGATACTTATATGGGAGAAGCTCGCAACATGGCTGTCGTTGTCTGCATGGATGTCGTCCCTGCTTCAGAGCCTTGCCTGAATGAGTATCCTGACCACGAGCAGCTAAGGAGAGATCGGCGAGAGCGGCGATACTTCTCGCAACGCAAGAGGGAGCTCGGAGATCTGCTAAGTCGAATTGGTGAAATGAGTCGCAGAAATCCCGACAAGCGGAAAGAACACGATAAGATTTGTGAAGCCTTGCGGAAGCGACGAGAGGCCATGGATCATGTTTTGAAGGAGCGCAAATACCGACTTGAAAGAGAGCAAAGGGAGCGAGTCGACCTACAATGCGAGGCTCGTGAGCTTGACAATTTCAGATTGGAAATCGAGAAAAAGATGATGAGTTCAGTGTTGGCAGACAAGGATTGGTCTGCCGAAATGGAACCTATTCTGTTCGAAAAAGAGCGAGCTTTTGAAAGAAAGCTTGAACAGCGCACTGCGCGTTTGAGAAAAGAATTTGAAGAGCGCTGTACGGCAGAAAGTGAAGCTTTGTTGAAGGAATACGAGGGCAGGAGCCCTGTGCTGTTCGCTGAGGATGATGGTGATCTGCGATATGACACAATGGATACGGAGGAGCATACATTCTTCGAGAATGAGAACAAATGGTTGTTTTCTACTGGGCTTGCAAGGATGTCTGCATTTCTTGATGAGAATGGAGAGCGAATCCCCGAGATAACATGTGAAGGTGAAGTCGAGGACGATTACGATGAATCTACTTTCATTTTTTGAGCTATAAACATGATGTTACTCGAGATCATTCTTTTGGTTCTCTTTTCGATGTGTCATAGTCGGCTCATACACGCACATGAGAATGGAAAATGCCCGTGTTGGGCTAATCGTACGATATACCTGGCATTATAGCAAAATCTGCTGCTTCTATTTTGTTGAGTGTTCCAGAACATAGAATATATCACAGGATTCGAAATGGCCAGATGACGGAGAGTTTAGAAGTTGAAGCTTTTACGAACGTGAATTACACAATGAAAATCGAAGGCAATCGAAAGAGCGAGGATAAAAGGAAGCTGGTGAGACATGCGCAGATCAGAAATGCGAGGATTTCAAAGATATGGAGTGAGAGAGGCTGTTCACGGAAGGGCCACCTCAAACAGAGGAAAGTCGACGCTGTTCACGGGAGGGACGTCCCAAACAGAGGAAATGCTGAAAAAGTGGAAAGTGACTTGTTTCGGTCTGGTTGAAGAATCATGATCAAAGAACCAGAGGACTGGAGTATTCGTCATACCACAACATTTTCAGGCACTATGTACTGCACTATGTACTGCACTCGGTTGATTACAACTTGAACCCTTATCATTTTCACTTTGTCACGATGGATTCATTCAGAAGACACACAAGTTGTGTTGCTGGAAGTACAAAAAGGGATTTGTTTTCTATATCCCATTCACTTTGATGTTGGGAGTAATCATAATCTTAGAAATGTATTCAGGTCTCGACAAGACTTCAATCTCAGTAACATGTCATTATCCATCTTCACCTTCAATTCTTCTCCCCAACCCCATTTTTCTTAAACTTGCCCAGCTTTGCGGAATGATTACTCAACTTGGGAAAGGTAGTGCGTTTGCTCAAATAGTGGTAGGATACAGAGTGGTTAGGTCCAACTGAGCATCGGACTCCATGTGTGCCCGGGGACGAGAACGCAGCCTGCTACTATGCCGGAGACAGAGGCATTGAGCGATGACGAGCTCAGGAGGATTGTTGTTTCTGCTTTCCCTCTTCTTCTTCGCTCCTCCCTCCCATCAACAACTTGACATTCTCCCGAATGATACTCAGACTACTCCGGGTGCAAATTCTCTTCCTATCGGTCAGTTGTGGATTGAGGCGATAAAGAAAGGCATGTTGTCCAGATGGCAGGAAACATTCAAGAATTGCAAAGCAGCAAAAGATGAAAGATTGTCAATCTACGATGTAGGCTGGGTGTTTGATGATATTCTGACACAACAAAACAAAGGTAACACTTGACACCGTGACTTTTTGGCATATTGTGATCAACTTGTCTTGAAGCTTTTCTTGATTTTGGGGACGATTTTCGATTGTTTCTCGAGGCGGTAAAGACAGATGCTGGCATAGAATTGAGAGAATGTAGGCAAACGTTTCGCTCTTTCCATATGTCTTAGCTGCTTGACAGGTGGTGATTGCCGAATCAATTGGGATGATTTCAAACACATCATGACGGCATTCACCTCACGTTATCTAAGCACCAAAAGTAATGTAGATCAATCCCATCAAATAGAGCTGCAATATTTCAAGACCATGCCCGCAAGGAGATCTCTTCAACTTGATGACAATCATCTCAAAAATTTGATAATCGAATCTGTGAGATACAAATGAATTAAATGTCTCAACTCACTTTTGCCACAGGAACCTACAGCCAATAGATTTTTTGCCTACGGAATGTTGCTGTCCAGATTGACTGCATTCAACGCCACGAGCATGATGAAGCTAACATTTCATCAAAGATCACGTATACTACCTTCCTCTCCATTGGAGCAAAAATGATCGTTCTGTACGCTAGATTTACTCGCAATGCATCAGAAAAGAATTGGAATCAAAGTATGCTTGTTCAGTGAGTTATTCCGTTGACAATTTCGAAGGGAAAGATATTTCCTTCATCGAACGTATATGGCATACGATCTACATCTTCGCTCTATACCAACTTTTCAAACTCTTCGAACGCCAGCAATACTTCATGCCCATATGGGTCTTACAGTGAAAATGACATGTGCAGAAATTGTTCATTCTGCCCTCCTGGAAGGAAATTGAACAAGTCGTGTATCTAATCTGATGGCATTGGTGCAGTTACCGAGAGGGTTGCTACGATACCTCCGGCGGGGTTTGTCTGCCATGTCCCGTGGGATACTTCAAGAGATTTGAAGGGGAGTGGAACACAACCTGTAAGGCCTGTCCTGCTGGATCAACCTCTAGAAATGGTACAATGCCCCTCAAACTATTTGTGAGAGCATTTGACGACATGTCAGGTACAAACATGACACACTGCTTCCACGCCTACACTTGCATGCAGTACCTTACAAGCGGCTTCAACAAGTCCGGGTAAGCGGGCCAGGGAGTCCGTTTGGTTGAATGATGTTGTTCGCTGCTAGGGTCTACATGCTTTCCATCGAGACGGCTGCCAACTACTCAACGGACAACCCTGTACCTTATGCATACAACTCATCCACAGAGATGCCCGTGAGGATGGAGGAATGCATTGTGCTTGTGCCACTGAAGCGATTTATAAGAGCGTCAAACACAGCAAGGCGTATTGCGATATGGAAACAGACGGTGGAGGTGATCTTGACTGGATCAAACCATGCGACGTTTGACGGTTAAAGTAGGATGGATGTTGATGCTGTGCTACAACAGGTCAATAATTTAGGGTGAAGCTCTGATCTCATTCATCTTTGTTGTCAAGGCAATGGAAAACTTCTCAAGGATTGAACAGCAGGGCTGTTCCTGTGGATCCAGTTGGTATATTTGTGTGGATTCAGCAAACTTAGCTCATTGGCTTACCAGACTGCTTCTCGCATGTTTACCTGAACAACTTTAGCAAAGGAGTGCTGTACACCGCAACTGAAACCCGGTTTTTCTGCAAGACGACGAGCCATAATCGCATTCTAGACTTCAAAACACGGAATGAAGGAGTTGTTGGAATCGTAAAACGTGGCCTCGCACAATGGAACAACTACACGTGGTGGCAGATCAACACTTCTTTACTGCCAGGACACTCAGTAAGTTGAAAGCTCAACACCCTGACTGCTATCGTGACGTGATATCGGTCAGGCTGTCCTGCCTATGGGCGCAAACTCAACCAACTTTTGGGATTCTCATTATGTCACTCTGCTTGACGGCCTGACGGTGTTTCCCTTCTTCAGACCGCCGAGCTATCACTGGACCCTTGGTTTCAATGGCAGATGGGAATGCGATGATTACGGTTCGTACGATCAGCAAACTCTCCATCAGGTATGGGTAAGAGATTGCAAGGATGTGTGTGGCGCCCCATATGGAGTCCCAGGATACAGCGCGAGGGTCGGGTTCTTCTCCTCCAACCTGTGTCCGTCACTGTCAGGAACATGCACGTTTGATGGCGGGGTCAACAGTTACTACATCGTCTTCTTCGAGCCCAACAAGTATGGAGTCATCCCGGCTACCCACCTGCTTTACGAGACTTCTTCTGGGACTCTTGCAGGAACGGCAACATCCAACCTTTGCCCTAACTACCCCGTGCCTCTGCCTCCTGCAGTCCAATGCTCTTCTCAGACAATTCCAGACCCGCAATTCAGGTTCACAAACAACCCGCAGGGCATACCTCTCCTCGGCCGCATTGCGATCTCGTTGAAAGGAGGTTGCAACGTCTACAGCCCGTTCACACAAGGATTTGCTGCGGGTCAAATCTGTCCAACAGGAAGCTGCGGGACTGGGTTAGATGAGTTTGTTTGCACAAATCAGGTAAAGGTGCGCATTGATTTCAACTTGACCGTTTGACCTCTCCTTGCAAGCTGAGGTATCAGTGCAAGCTCAACGACTCGTTCAGCCTCGTTGACAAGTGTGGCGGGGGACATGCAGACCCTTTCTTCTATCAAACCGACCTTGTCTGCGACTACAACATCTCCGATGACTCGTCGCATAGCCCCGCCATCGCGGTTGCTCTGGATGGACACGTTATCTATGGTCGCTGGGAGGGCTCGGGCAAGAAACCTGTATTGGATGCATGTAATGGACACTTTGGTGGGCGAGAGCTTGCGTTCTTCCGCATATTGACACGTCGAGCAGGTCCAGTCCCAGAGAACAAGCCTTACAACATTTCTGCTGGTGTCGTGTACCACTATCACAGCACAGATTACCCTCCGTTCCTGTTAGGCTGCTTTGGCCCAGTGTACTGTAAGTTTTTGATGTGCAACTTGTTCTTGCTAGACGTTCGGTGAGAACAATTTGTAGCCTTGGATGAGTGCAAGTCCTTGTATCCTTACTGCGGAGATGCAAACTTCTTGACCAAGATGGTGAATGCGACTGGACACGTGTTCGTTTACAACTCGTGGTGCCCCTGCTGTACGTTTGTGCCTTCCGGTGTTAAGCTGCGTGTATGAACGGTGTTGCAGATCAGCACAACGGCAGCTGGACAGGAGGAAATCCGATCGGTGTAGTCATGCAATAGTAGGCATCATTGTCCTTGTACTGATTTTTTTAACTTTGAGTAAAAGCCATGATGATGTGGAAGGTGACTCGTTAGTCCGGCAGCGGCGGCGGGCCCGGGCCGGGCCCCGGCCTCAGCTCTCTTGAAGGGCTCTCAGCTGCTGGGAAACCGTTTGGGTTGAGCCAACACGCACTGCCGCATGGACGGGGGAAATCCACACGAAGAAGCTCAGGCTGCGACAAAGATGAGCGACGAGAAGAAGACAAGACAAGAACCTTCGACTCCAATCAAAGATGGCGAGAAGAAGAAAAGACCTGAAGTGATCAAATGGGCCAACTTAATGCAGGACCAGAAGCTGCGACCCGAGCACGTGAAGCTGATGGTTGTAGGAGAAAGCGGCTTAGGTAAGACCACTTCTATCCGGTGCATTCTTCATCGCTATGGTGAGAGCGAGTTGGACGGGATGCAAGACATGACCGAGAAAAGCAAGACGCTTGAGATCAGGGAGTACCCGCCCGTGACAATTCAAACAGATGACCCCTGTCGACCAATCATCCTCTCCATCATCGACACACCTGGGTACGGAGAGCACACAGACATGAGGCTGGACTTTACCAAGATCACCGACCACATCAAAGCTCAGTGGGAGACAACCTACACTGAAATCCAACAGAATCTCACCTGGGAAGGAAGCGGTTTGCCTTCGCGCCATTTAGTTTCGGCGTGCCTTTACTTCATTGCGCCACACAGGCTCAAGACGATTGACATTGACTTCATGAGAGAAGTTTCAAGATTGATTCCGATCATTCCGGTGATAGCAAAGTCCGACACTATGACAAGAGACGAGACTCTTGAGTTTCGACGACTCGTTGCAGCCCAGCTCTCCACCGACTCAAAGATTCGTCTGTACCCCTGGACAGTGAAGACGGCCGATGGAGTTGTTGGCAGAGACGAAACCCTTGCTGATGATGCTGAGATGCCGCCCTTTACCATCATCGCTGCCAAGAATTTCGAATACCGTGAATACGCCTGGGGTACATGTCGCCTGGATGATCGTCAGCATTCCGACTTCACTCTGTTAAGAAGGCTCGTCTTAGGCAGACATTTGCTCTCTCTCAAGCAAGAAGCTCTCGATACTTTCTCGACCTGGAAGAAACAAAAAGAAGGGCGATGGATGCCCACGCTTCTCTTCACTGTTTTACCTTCGAGCATAGCATTTCGCAAAGTGATCCTGGACTTGTTTCCCCGCTATCGAGCTTCAGCGATTTGGTTTTTAGTCGGAATCATCCTGGTTACATCAATACTGCAGAATCGAAGCTTGAGTATGGAGAATCGTGCAGTACAAACACAGATCGAGCAGCTTGGTAGAAACAACACTGAGCTCATGGTTGAGATGCTGAAGTGGAAGGAGGAGGCTCAGAAAGTCAGTCAGACCTGCAAATCGAAAGCTGCCAACCTCACACGAAATTCAGAGTCTCAAATCTCCAGCTGCCGAGCAGAACTGGTAGAGTTGCAACATTCGTTGAAACAAGTCATGGCAGAAAATAAGAAGCTGGAAGAAGAACGAGCAGAAATTCACAATCGTAACAGCTGCATTCTATGTTTTGTGTCTTTGCTTTGTATTGGTTCTGGCTTGATTTTCTTTGATCAGATGACTTCGCGTCATGTATAAGCTCGACAGAAGGGATGACCATTGTCTGTGCGATAACGAGTAAAACATGTCAGTGCAGCTGAATGATAGCAAGCATACTGCATGATTGTATGATCGCAGACAAAATGCACATAAGCTTACTCAAGCTAATGTTGAAGCAAAGATACGCGCTCGGGTCCATCGTAAGGCTGGTGGGGGTCCTGTCAGCTATGATGAGACTAATAAGATACCGGGGTACTACTAGGGAATGTGGACCGGTACATAGTGCAGATTGGTAATGGAATGGGTGTGGGTGGTAGTAGACATTGGAGTGCGATGGTCGAGGACGATCCCTGGTGAGCTCAGGGAGGGAGGGCGAGGGCGAGGTCGAGGGAGAGGGAGAGGGAGGCAAGGACGAGGGGATGGAGGGAGGGTCGTAGGGAGGGATGACTGGACGAGAAGAAACCTGCTTGAGCACTGTGATGTCCAACATGCCGTGATGTGATTCGAAACAGGAAAGTTCTAGGTTTGAAGAGATCAGCAACGCAACTTGAAATCAAGTCTGCATATCTTGACCTCGTCAAGGTATGCTCATAAAGCATCGTATGCTATGGTTGCTTGCACGAACTGAGCTTGAAGCTAAAGGAGCTCCACCCCGACAAGCATCACCAAACCCCGGTCGAAGATCGGAAAAGGAACGAAGCTCGATTCAAGAACGTTCAGCAGGTCAGCCAGTAATGATGATGCGTCGATGTATCTCGGATGCTGCAGGCATACGCGTACCTTACTGGCAAATCAAGTTACAACCCGAACGCATCCGTGTGGCGACCGCCTGGTAGTCAACTGATTCGATGCTTTCTAGCGGCCTCTGAGAATGTTGCAGATGCTGATATCAATGTATCAAAATTCACGAATCGGCATGTGATGATATATCTCGCAGGGGTAATAAGATTTCCTCTCGACTGCATCATTCAATTGACATTATCTAATCTGACCTGTTATCTTCTCAGTTCACTGCTCTAGGAACTGCGTTTTTGGTGTATTGGAACTACAAGATATCCCAGGTTTCTAGAGTGCTCAACCTCTTTATCGCTACTTGCGCTCAACAATTTAAAGGCTCGTGCGTCTCTTTTTGGTCATCCAGATCGAACTGAAAGCACCGTCAAATACCTCGAGCAGGTTCACTCGGCCCAGGTCCTGCGATCCACTCAACTTGAGCACAGACCAGAGCATGGCACAAGACCAAAGACAGCGAGGAGATTCACATGTACCTTCAGCTTTCCATGAAAGTGGGATGATACATACTGACAGGTTGATGAATGAAAGGAGAGATTTTGCTGTACAGAAAGCTATTGAGGAGGTCGTTTCTTGTGACAAGTCAGGTTGTTCAGGTAGCTGACAGCAGGTGCTGCAGGGCGTTAACGGAGGGCTCGAGTACGGAGCCAAGATGTCAGCCTGTCTCTTAGTGCTCAAGGGCTTGGAACATGCGGGTAAAATTACATCAGCTGCATTTTCATGTTTGACACACAGCAGGGCTGCTAAAGCCTTTGATGATAAACCCGTTTTTTGCGTTCCATACTCGCGTCCCTGCCATGTGCTTTTACATGACTGCAGCCGGTAAGCATTCTAAGGGGCATTTGTTGTATCGATATGATGATGATCGGATGTATTTCTGATATGGTGGGGCTGGTTAAGTGTGATGACGATGATCGTCCTGATGAAATCTATGTGCTCCTTGTTTATTCTCGCTGACAAGATGAGATGCCAGTGACATGCTTGAGCAGGTGCCTCAGGGTTTTGGTTTAAAGGAAGCGCTGCTTTGATGAGAAACAAGTATCATCCGACAAGTGGGGATGTACATGAGTTCAAGGGCGAGACGAGCTAAGCGAATAAAGACTGCATCATGTACTGGTCTCGTTTCAAGCTGATCGCTGAGTTCGTTTCAAGCTGATTGCTGAGTTCGTTTCAAGCTCATCGCTGGTCTCGTTTCAAGCTCATCGCTGAGTTCGTTTCAAGCTCATCGCTGGTCTCGTTTCAAGCTCATCGCTGAGTTCGTTTCAAGCTCATCGCTGGTCTCGTTTCAAGCTCATCGCTGGTCTCGTTTCAAGCTCATCGCTGAGTTCGTTTCAAGCTCATCGCTGAGTTCGTTTCAAGCTCATCGCTGGTCTCGTTTCAAGCTCATCGCTGAGTTCGTTTCAAGCTCATCGCTGAGTTCGTTTCAAGCTCATCGCTGAGTTCGTTTCAAGCTCATCGCTGGTCTCGTTTCAAGCTCATCGCTGAGTTCGTTTCAAGCTCATCGCTGAGTTCGTTTCAAGCTCATCGCTGGTCTCGTTTCAAGCTGATCGCTGGTCTCGTTTCAAGCTCATCGCTGAGTTCGTTTCAAGCTCATCGCTGATTTAGTTCCTCAAGATGGCTGCTGGGCGGCCAAGCCGAAGACTCGAGACAGCGAACTTGACGAGAGCCTGAGAAGCGATCCTGCATGCTCGCCTCAGAGAGAGGTTACACTCCATTTCAAATTTCAAAATCGACTGCCTTCCCGCCAACCAGCCGGCTTTATCGCTGTGTCCTCGCAGAAGCTTCAGCCACACAAGGAGCAGGGCGCTGGTCAATCTCGTGTTGCTCTTGCTTGATCTCACGGCGACTGAGCGCGATCTTACAGCTTGAACTGAGAGACACCGGCCAACCCTCTTCTTCCGCTGCCTCCCTGCTTTGAACGCCTCCTTAAACATTAGGCAAACAGGTTCTTGGTTGTTTTACGGGGCAGATAAGATCGTTTTGTTCACGATGATGGCGCTTCAAACGTCAATCGCCGACCCTGAACCAGCGAGAAGCTTCTATGCTGTTACACCTTGTACAGCATCACCAGCAATATCTGACGGTCAACGAGGTTTTCACTTGGATGGTGAAGCAGGAGAGAGGGGTAGGGCAACAGATGTCTGCGAGGAACTACGGGCGGATGTGCATTCAGAGCTTAGACATGCGATCATGCCGCATCGCCCACCTTCAGCAATTACAGACTGGACCCCCCCCAATCTTGCCAGGCTCAAGGCAGCATGGACGCAAGGTAAATGGCAAAGTAAATTTCACTTAGGGCCGAGAGAAGTGCGAATGGTGAGCAAGCATGGCCTGGAAGCGATGAGAAGGGCATGCAGAGACATTGTGCGAAGACGAATCTCAACTCTCCAAGGAGTTGTGGACGGAAGGCAAACTCCCATGCGGGGTCACCCTGTATTCCTTGCCCAACATGCCACGGTGATTCCATGGTGTTAGAATTTATGCTAGCTGATCTTGTTTCTTTCGATCATGATAGGCCACATGTTGCAGGCAGTGCTTGTTCAAGTGGCACCATATTTGCCATGAAGGTGAGCTGAGCAGCAAACAGGAGGACTGGGTTGTGCATGTTATCATGGATTGGATTCAGGAGAAGTATAAGGTGGGCCCACCAAAGAATTGTAGATGCAAAACTTGCACCGTTGACAAGCCTCACATCAAAAACGATAGAGGACAGAAGACGCTTCTGGATTTCTGCCGTCCAGTTACTTGACGATGCGCCGTCGGAGTTCATATAGCATGACCTGATGAAAAGGAGAGTGCTCAGTTCAAAGCGAAAGAAACTTGTGTATACTTTGCCAGGATCAACGTCCTCGTGATGATGCTCGACATAACTCCTCGTAGAATCTGAAGATGCCATGAATATTTACAACAAAGACGAGACTTGTCGCTCACTGTCGTCAACTTCCATTGGCTGTAAATTCCACTCTCCTACTTTGGTCACTTGAAAGCTTCCATGCTCAGGGAGGACCGCAAGCTTGGATATGAATCAGATCTAGAATGAGCTGAGATTCAGGATCGCAACAAGTGAACCTCGAAGAAGTTCAAATCTTCCTTGTACAGTCGAGGTCTTTCAGGCACACTGATCATTAGGAACAATATCGAATCATCACAAACCGATGGTGTGAGAAGCTAACAAGGATTCTCGATTCTGGTGAATCGCACAAGAGTTCTGAACATGAGCTGAGCTCTGTCAGAAACAAAATTCGCACAACAAAGCTTTCACCGGAGAAGAGCGTTATGTGCGTAATGATTGAAGATGGCGTCTGAGATGATGATGAGGTCAAAACCTCTGCCGCAGGACAGGTCCCTCAATTGTTGGGTGTTGCTTCCCCACTTGTGTCCCACTACCTCCATGTTCTTTCCATATTTGTCAGGTTCATGCGTGATCGCGATCAATGGCGCGCAACCCACCTTGAGATCGAGACGCTCGACATTGCTTTTGATTGTCATCAGCAGATCCTCGTCCGGGTAGTCTGTGATCACCACTCGCTTTGCTCCTGCCACATGCCATCGTCCCTCTCGTGTAGCCCAACCATCCATTCAACATCACCTTTCATCGATGCCACGACTGAAGGGAGCCCAATGCCGGCTCCGAGCTCGACGATCTGCAGCACTTGAGCACAAGCAAGCATCTCTGCAGGCAGTGGTTCCGTCACCTGCTTGCCTCGGATGTCTTCTGCATGCTCAACGAGATATTCGACCATGCACTTGGCTGAGTTCCAGAGGAGGTGACCCCAAAGAGAATGCCTGCCTTCCTCTCAGCTCCTATCCCTTCCTCTCAGCTCCTATCCCTTCCTCTCAGCTCCTATCCCTTCCTCTCAGCTCCTATCCCTTCCTCTCAGCTCCTATCCCTTCCTCTCAGCTCCTATCCCTTCCTCTCAGCTCCTATCCCTTCCTCTCAGCTCCTATCCCTTCCTCTCAGCTCCCATCCCTTCCTCTAAGCTCCTATGCTCCTCTTTCAATTGCAAATGCGCGGCCGGCAAGGGTCTGACCTTCTAGGCGACTGCAAGTGAAGGAGTCTTCCCTCAAGGTTGAAGGAGATGAAACGAGCATGAGGTTCTTCTTTATCTCCATCTGCCTCTGCAAACCTCCACGCGCAGATCAGATCAAAGCTCTTGAATGAGAGTCCAAGGGTCACTCCACTTGCTTGTGCCACAATGCATATTCACTTACATGCATGCTGATACAGCTTACACGTGCACGTTCAGCATATTCACTTACATGCATGCTGATACAGCTTACACGTGCACGTTCAGCATATTCACTTACATGCATCATGGTACAGCTTATACGTGCACGTTCAGCATATTCACTTACATGCATGCTGATACAGCTTACACGTGCACGTTCAGCATATTCACTTACATGCATGCTGATACAGCTTACACGTGCACGTTCAGCATATTCACTTACATGCATCATGGTACAGCTTATACGTGCACGTTCAGCATATTCACTTACATGCATGCTGATACAGCTTACACGTGCACGTTCAGCATATTCACTTACATGCATGCTGATACAGCTTACACGTGCACGTTCAGCATATTCACTTACATGCATCATGGTACAGCTTATACGTGCACGTTCAGCATGTGCATATGACAGATCACATGCATGTACAATTCAGCATTCGCATACAAGGTGCATCTAACGCGTGTACATGCACGACAGAGCATAGACATGTCTGGTTGAATGCGCAGATATAGACTAGAGCCTTACAGGCTCGATAGAGCATCGGGCTCGGGGACTTCGTTGGGGTTTCCTCCTCGTAGTGCAATGCAGCTTGGAAACAACCCTGGCTCGTCGTTGGAGCTATCGAGGAGGATAGAAGGCAAGTGTTCTGAGACAGCTGCTGCTCTAGCAGAGCGTTCTCCTCCTCCCCACAAGCACATCCCCCAAACAACCGCAGACACCCACAAGCGTCTCATGTTCGCATTCTTTTCCCACAAAACCGGCTGACCCGCCTCAACAAGGATCTGAATCAAATGCGCATCCACCGCATGCTGTCGTCAGCCAATGTGTTGATTGAGCAAAACAAGCAGCAAATATCAACACGGTTTGATGAAGAAACAAACAACCATATCCATACACTGTACAACAACCAAACAAAATACAGAACAAACTCTCAGACCCTCTCAGGGCCTCTTGCGGACAACTTAGGGTTGAAGGATGAGAGCAACATGGTTTATTCTAACGTAATCACGCCCTCCAGCATACGCAGCGACTTGAGCTTCCGGCTCGCCGCCTCTGTCGTGAGAGTCTCGGCTATGATCATCTCCTCCTCCTCCGATGGGCGAACGTCCGGCTTGAGGACAAAGTTGCCTCGCGCGTCGATGGAGCGGGTGCCAATGGCGGTGGCGGAGGCTTGGAGAGCGAGGAAGGAGGAGCTGCCAGGCAGGACGCGGCCGTCCCGTGAGATAGCTGGCCGTCCAAGAGGACCGTCGGGAAGGCGCTGAGGTCTGGAGGCAGGCACCTGCAGGGTCTCGGGGTCGTGCAGCAAGATGTGCGCACAGGTCATGGTGTGAAGCGGGGGAGGGAGATGAGCAGTCGGAGGGGGAGAGGGTCACTTGCCGCAAGAGAGGCTTAGAGCTGGTCGATGGCACAAGGCAGGCAGCAGGGCTGTGGTCAAGGCAGAGGGCACAAGGCAGTGGGAGCTCGATCGGGGGAAGGAAGCCTTTATAGGGAGGGGGGGGGGGCCTGGGAAGGGAGTTGGGCCTAGAACGCAACGGCTGGTGACATCTACTTGTCAGCATTCAGAAGAAGCGCCCCCTGAAGCTTCCGCTAACCGATTGCCAGCCATCTAGAAGATTCTCGCCCCTGGAAAGGCCGTGACGCACTGCGCGCGGGCCGTGTGCCCTTCATGGCATAGGAGCCGTGACCGGAGAAGTGTGTAAAGATGTGTGGAAGGGTGTCTTGTCTCGGGTAGATAGAACGCGATGGATCCAGTGCGGGCTGGCTGGGATAGATCGAGGCTGCGCCGTTTCGCGAGTCGAGTCCGCTGACCCTCATGGGGCTCCGGGCCCTGAGCCCCTCACGGCTTGTGGGCAGCCGGGCCTGCGCGGGTCACCCGGCCGGGCACGGAGGGCCTAAGGCGTGACGGTCCGATCCGATCCGGGAGACCCGGCGTTCAGTGCCGGGCTCGGGAGGCACTGCCGGCAGGACAAACTCTCAGACCCTCTCAGGGCCTCTTGCGGACAACTTAGGGTTGAAGGATGAGAGCAACATGGTTTATTCTAACGTAATCACGCCCTCCAGCATACGCAGCGACTTGAGCTTCCGGCTCGCCGCCTCTGTCGTCTCGGCCATGATCATCTCCTCCTCCTCCGATGGGCGAACGTCCGGCTTGAGGACAAAGTTGCCTCGCGCGTCGATGGAGCGGGTGCCAATGGCGGTGGCGGAGGCTTGGAGAGCGAGGAAGGAGGAGCTGCCAGGCAGGACGCGGCCGTCCCGTGAGATAGCTGGCCGTCCAAGAGGACCGTCGGGAAGGCGCTGAGGTCTGGAGGCAGGCACCTGCAGGGTCTCGGGGTCGTGCAGCAAGATGTGCGCACAGGTCATGGTGTGAAGCGGGGGAGGGAGATGAGCAGTCGGAGGGGGAGAGGGTCACTTGCCGCAAGAGAGGCTTAGAGCTGGTCGATGGCACAAGGCAGGCAGCAGGGCTGTGGTCAAGGCAGAGGGCACAAGGCAGTGGGAGCTCGATCGGGGGAAGGAAGCCTTTATAGGGAGGGGGGGGGGGCCTGGGAAGGGAGTTGGGCCTAGAACGCAACGGCTGGTGACATCTACTTGTCAGCATTCAGAAGAAGCGCCC